AGTAAAGAGCTGTTATTCCTTTTCTTGTACTTTTGCCTGGAAGGAACGTCATCTTTGAAATTAAAAAAAGTTTTAGGCATGGGTCTCCTTTCCCACATAGGCAACCTGAGAAGGCTGTTGGGGCTCGCCGTGCCCTTCCCTGTGCTCACTTCACACCCTGATATGGAGCCAGTTGCTGCTCTTCCGCACGGCGCCCCCTTGGAGCGCACCTGGCAGCTGTAATTCCCTGAGTGGGAGACCCCCACAGCATGCATCGGCAGCTGCGGGGACCCCTGCGGGCCCCCCACCACCTGCCTGTCCTGGTAGAACACTTGCAGGAGTGGGGCTCGGGCCCGCAGGGGGCTGGGGTGTTGAGGGCTCTGAGATTCAGGGGGGACCCCTCAGTGGGCTTGGGGGGACCCTCCAGCACCGGCACCGAGAAGAGCTCAGGGAAGGAGAGGGGAGATGAGTACTGTGACTCTGAGTCCTCTGAGAAGTGGCTTTTGGGGTGTCAGGAGATTGGAGTTCCAGCCGTGTGGGTGCTCACCATGCACTGTCACTGTCACCGGTGCCGACTTTACCCATGGTGATACTTGGGAGTCCACCCAACCCCTGCAGCTGTAGCTGCTGCTGCGGTTCAACTGCAGAGGGGACAGGGACAGCTCGGCCCCATTGAGGGACCTCCTCACCTCCTTGTCCCCATGGTAGAATCGCACTCCAGTGACTGGAATGTCCCACCAGCACTGGCAGCGCAGTGTCACCATGTCCCCCTCCAGCAGCTCCCTGCCGACACCTGCAACTCTAACCGGGCAGCAGGACACGGGGGTCCTGTCACACCAGGTGTCCTGTTTTCATGGGGATGCCGTCATTGGGTCACACGCAGCGCACCAGGGATCCCCAATTCCAGCAGGGGTCCTCGCACACTGAGATGCTCTGGGATGCTCACCCTGTACTGTCACTGTCACCGGCACTGACTCCCCCCGGAATCAGGACCTCACCCAGCCCCTGCAATGGTAGCGGCTGCTGTGGTTCAGCTGCAGAGGAGACAGGGACAGCTTGGTCCCATCACGGAGTTGCCCCAGTTTCTTCCCCTCGTGGTAGAAGGACATCAATTTTACCATGAGGTTCTGCCAGCCCCGGAGCCCAGTGTCACCATGTCTCCCCTCCAGCAGCACCCCCACCAGCAGCTGCAGCACCAGCCAGTTTGGGGTGCAGAGGGGTCCTGAAACACCTGATGACACCGGCACCCCCTCGTTGGGTCACACCCAGCGCACAAGGGGCCCCCGATACCAACACAGGGTTTCCTGATGCTAGGATGCTCTGGGATGTCCCCAGAGCAGGGGACAGGCTCTGATCACACAGGAGGTGACCCATGGAGCGGAGCCAACCCAGAGCCCTTGGAGTCCCTGCGAGTGCCAAGTTGTGGATACCCAAACCCCCCTCACACTCTAAGATGCTCACGGGGGGGCTGAGCCCAGTGCCGGGTCTGTAACACCAGTAGGTGCCACCCTCGGTGTCCGTGACATTGTTACATCCCTGCCATCAGTGCTACCCATCCTTGTACCAGGTGGTGCCATTGGTGGTCCTCAAGCCCTGGCAGGTCAGTGTCACCCGGTCCCACAGCACTGCCCGCCTCCAGGGGGCTCCACGAGGAGACGAGTGGACTGGGCACCTGTGGGTGAAAGGGGACACCAGCCTGCCAGGGTCAGCATGGGGCTGGGGAAGGTGGGGTGGGGCCATGGTATCCCCTAAGGACTCACCAGCAAGGGCCAGGGTCTGGGCTGGAAGGGAGAAGGGACAGGGCTCAGTGAGGGTGGCACCGTGGGAACAGCAGCACCTGGACAACAGGTTGTGGGGGCTGTCCCAAAACTGTCCTGGTGGGGACAGCAGTTCATATGGGAAAATGTGTCTGAGTGGTCCGCAAAAGATTTGGAGAGGCAGGGGGACATGTCTGTGTCACAGTCACCCATGCACCACATCCATGTGGCACAGACACCTTGGGAACAGGGACACCGAGGCCACCCTGGGCTGAGGCAGAACATGGGGACATCGTGGACACCCTGTGTACAAGGACACCTTGGACACAGCCCATGCTGGCCCAGGTCACCCCCACCAGCTCATGATCCCATCCCCATGGCCACATCCTCCCCATTCTTGTCCCATTTTGTCCCTGCATCCCATTTCCCTTGTCCCTATCCCCAGAGCTACCTGAGCCCAAAGGTGCCAGTCCTCACATTCCTGTCTCCCACTTCCCCATTCCCAAATTTCTGCCCCTGTTCCAGTGTCCAAAGCCACCCTACATCCCCAGTCCCACTCAGGTCCACTGTGGGTAACATGGACTGGCACTGCTGGCATTGGGGACCTCAGGGTCCCCGTAGCACCCTTCCCTCCTCATCCCTGGGGTGTCAGGCCCGTGCCAGGGGCACTCACCCCAAAGGAGCAGGGCCACCTTCCCAGCCATCCCGGTGTCCGCAGCCATGTGCACTGGCTGTCACTCACTGTCAGGAGTGGCTGTTCCCTGGGTGGTGGCTCTTTGGTCAAAGAGAAAGGAAGCGAGGTCACATCTTGCCCTCATGCGTAGGTGGCACCTGGTGGGGGCAGGGTGGCCACAAGCTGGGCACAGGCTGTGGGCAGGGTGGGGACAGGATGGGGACAAGGCTGGGTGTGACACAGTAGGACATGGGATTCCCAGGAGTGAGGGGGGTTCTCAGGGGGTTTGGGGACAGAGGGAGGGGTGTCCCGAGGAATGGGGGTCCTTGGGGAATGCAGGGCCTGAAGAGGGGCAATCACCGGGAATGGGCATGATATGGGAATGGGTGTCTCCATAGCTGTGGGGACTCAGGAATGGGAGTTCCAGGGGAACGTGGGCTCCGGGGATTTAGAGTCATGGGATGGGGATGGTGGGGGAATGGGGGGTCCAGTAGGAATGGAGGTCCAGTGAGAAACAAGGTCCTGGGAGAAGGAGGATTTCAGGGGATGAAATGAACAGGAGAGGGTTCCTTGGGAATGGAGTCCTGGGCCATGGAGATCCTGGGGAATATCAGTATTGGGATAGCAGTCCCAGACAAGGTGGGACATAAGGAAGGGGACTTCCATGATTTTATTTCCAAAGGAGTGAAGTTCCCAGGGATGGACAGCGGCTGGGTAGACCCATGGGTCTCAGCTCCTTCCCTGGGTTCCTCAGATTTTGGGATGACCCAGGGCCCAACAGACCCAACAAGGTGCCGTCAGTCTTGGTGTCACCCCAGAAACATTCAGAGGGGCCCTGGGTGTGTGGAGCTGATGCAGAGGTGAGAATTCTGTGGTGGAAGAAGGCCTGGCTGTGGTTTGTTCAGCCCTGCAAGAAGCACAAAACCAAAAGGGAGCCCAAGCAGTGGCTCTGTGAGGGCCTTTGATGGTTCTCAGAGAAGGACTGGCTGGAAACCCACCCTGCAGGAGCAGCTGCGAGGGAACCAGTCTGGCAATGCAGCAATTGATCATTTTGACCCTGTCCTCAAGGGACTGAGAGAGCTCCAGAACTGCAAAGACAACAACAATCTGCTCAACAACCTGACCTAGCCTTTCCTTCCTGAACAAAACCTGCAGCCCTTTGGAACCCCATGGAAATAATGTTCTGGATGTGTACACCAGAAAAGAGGGAAAATGTGGAAATATTGAGCAAGGGCTGCTCATGAGGGGCTGGGGAACAGGGCTGTCACAGCAGGAGCAGGGAGTGCCCAGGCAGGGGAATTCAGGGCAGGCTGGAGTTAATTTGCCAATGAATCAGACCCTGAGGCACACACAGGCATTTCCACAGGTTCCTGTGCACTGTCCCAATCATGGACAGAGCTTCTCCCCTTCTTCTATGGGAAGTCAATCAGGTTTCCGGGTGGTAAAGAGCAAAATGGGGAGAGTTCCTAAATGTGGCCCAAGAACAGGCTTCCTTGGGGCTGGGTTGCTGCCCAGCAGGCAGGGAACAATCCCATGGAGCTGTTGGACACTCAGGGAGGTTCCACACTCTGTGTTATCCACAAACACTTCTGTGGGATGCAGCAAGGGGCTGCTAAAGGGAGCCGAAAAAGTTCTCATTTCTTTGTGATTTGTTTGTGTTTTTATTGTGTGTGACTTGTTGGGAAAGCAATGGTTTCTCTAAACGAGAGTATATTATATCTTGTCAGTTTGATTTTTGATGAGTTTGTTCTTTATTGGAAAAATAATGGTGTGGTAAAGATTTTTGCTTTTATTCTATGGATGTGTAATTTTGTCTGAACCAATTGGGCATCAAGTGTTGCCTGGGATGGCTGAGCCAGGAAATTTGGGAACCTGACCCAGGGGTGAGTGGGGCAGGGACACAGAGACTCCCAGGACAGCCCTGGAGTTCCCCAGGGTGGGGGTTGTGCCGGGCTCTGGGTCATCCCAAAATTTGAGGCACCCTGTGAAGGATCTGTGACCCCTGTGCCCACCCAGCCACTGCACATCCCTGGCACCCCCATTCTCTTGGGAACCCAACCATGGGACCCCCATTGCCTTGCTCTCTTCTCCCTGGGGGCCCCCATCCCAGGACTGCCATTGCCCAGCACCACAATTGCCTTGATCCCATCCCATGGGCTGCTTCTTCCTCCAGAACCTCTATTCCTGGGGGCCCCCTTTTTTCCCCCTGCACCCCCAACCCTGGCACCCACATGCCATGACCCCAAATCCCTGGGGACCCTGTTTCCACAGCACTCCCATCCCTGAATCCCCCCAGGCATGGAGACCTCAAATCCCCTGGACCCCATTCTCCTGGACACCCATGCTTGGTTCCCCACATCCCCTGAGCCCCCCACTCCTGGCAACAGCATCCCCCACCATGTCCCCAGACTATGCAGCCTTGTCCCCAGCCTGTGCCCATCTTGTGGCAACCCTGCTCCCACCAAGGGCCACCTACATGTGGGGACAGACGTGACCTTGCTTCCTTCCCCTTCATCCGAAGAGCTGCCAGCCAGGGGAGCAGTGGCCACAGCAGCGAGTGACAGCCAGTGCACATGGCTGGGGACACCGGGATGGCCGGGAAGGTGGTGCTGCTCCTGTGGGGTGATGTGAGAGTCTGTCCGAATTTTCCCTCATCTGCCTCATGATCGTCATTGGGAGACCACTGAAGAAAAGACCCCCCTGTCTAGAATCTGTGGCTCTGAAGTAGAAAGTCACATGCCATGGCCCCTGAGACATGAAAATGCAGTGTTATTTGTTTTCACAGGTGTGTTTGCTGTATGCTAAGAAGGGGTCACCATGCCCCGTTTGCAACAATAGCAGCTCTGGAAGCTGTCCCACCTCTCGGCCTGGCTGGACTTCTCCTGAGTTTCAGGTGGTCTCCCACAGAAGACCCTCACCTGGTTTACAACCACCGTGACAGACAGACTGAGATGTAAGAAGCCTCTCCATCAAAGACTGAGACATGAAACTCCTATGTGACAAGGCCCCTCTCCTCCTTCCAGGGACTGTGACTGAAACTCCCAACCCAGGGGAGGTGTGTGGGGGAGGCAAGCTGGCCAAAGCGAGATGTTTGCCTGCAGGTTGTGACCATTGGACCACGAAAACAATGGCTCTTGTTTACTGCTGAGAACATAGACTGCCTGTTACATCTATTCCCTATTGTATCTGTTTCTCCCCCTCACAATTTTCAATAATAAAAACCTCTGAGTTAGCTAGAGATTTTGAGATCTCCCCAGCATTACAGGTGGATCCTTGACTGGACCGGACCAAAGGACTTCGTCTCTGCTTTGGTAGCTGTATCTCCCTCCCCCCCTCCCTCTCTCTCTCTCTCTCTCTCTCTCACTTTCTCTCTCTTTTTCTATCCCTTAATCCCTCTATTGCATTTTTGCTGTGGTTATTTCAATAAAACTGCATTTGTTTTGATTATCACTGCAAATCCCTTTGTACTGTGTTGGTTTTGCACTCTGAGATCACTCCCACGAACATCGGGTCATCTGTTCACTAGGATGGATCCTGACAGGTGAGTGTCCCGGGCACGGGCCTGACACCCTGAGGATGGGGAGGGGAAGGGGCACAGGGAGGCTGTGGGGTCATCTGAGGTCCCCAATGCCAGCAGAGCCAGTCCATGTTACCCATAGTGGACCTTGTTGTGACTCTGACTGATGAAGGGTGGCATTGGGGACAGGAAGACGGGGCAAGAATTTGGGGATGGGAATGTGGGGACAGGAATGTGGGGACTGGCACCTTTGGGCTCAGGGAGCTCTGGGCATACGGACAAAGGAACTGGGATGCAGGGACAGAAGGGGACAAGAATGGTGAGGATGTGGCCATGGGGATGGGATCATGGGGATGGGATCATGAGCTGGTGGGGGTGACCTGGGCCAGCATGGGCTGTGTCCCTGGTCTTCTCATGCCCGGTGTGTCCACAGTGTCCCCATGTTCTGCCTCAGCCCAGGGTGGCCTCGGTGTCCCTGTTCCCAAGGCGTCTGTGCCACAGGGATGTGGTACATGAGTGGCTGTGCCACAGACATGTCTTCTGTCTCTCCAAATCTTTTGGGGACCACCCAGACACACTTTCCCACAAGAACTGCTGTCCCCATGGGGACAGTTTTGGGACAGCACCCACACCCTGGACCCCTGTGTCTCTGTCCCTTCGGTGCCACCCCCACCCAGCCCTGTCCCTTCTCCCTTCCAGCCCAGACCCTTGGCCTCGCTGGTGAGTCCTCAGGGGATGCCATTTCCCCATCCCACTCTCCCCAGCCCTGCACTGGCCTTGGTAGCCTGGTGTCCCCTGTCACCTGCAGGTGCCCAGACCACCCAACTCCTGGTGGAGCCCCCCTGGAGGCCAACAGTGCTGTGGGATGTGCTGACACTGACCTGCCAGGGCTCGGAGTCTGCTGGAGCCACCATCTGGTACAAGGATGGGGAGCGCTGGGGGCAGGAGAGACCTGAACGCCTCACTGCCACTGTAATTGGCACCTACATGTGTGAGATACCCGGCAGTGGGCTCAGCCCCTCTGGCTGTCTCAAATGGTGAGGGGGCTTTGGGTATCCCCAACCTGGCACCCGCTGGAACCCCGAGGGCTCTGGGTGGGCTCTGCTCCATGGGTCACCTCCTGTGTGACCAGAGCCTGTCCCCTGCTCTGGGGATATCCCAGAGCATCCCAGTGTGGAGGACCCCTGGTGCACTGGGTGTGACCCAATGGGGGTTGCTGGTGCCATCAGGTGTGACAGGACCCCTCTGCTCCCCAGACCGGCTGGTGCTGCAGGTGCCAGCGCAGGCACTGCTGGAGGGGGACACGGTGACACTGTGCGGCCGGAGCTGACAGAACCACACAATCAAATCTGTGTCCTTCTACCGCAAGGAGAAGAAACCAGAGGGACTCCCTGATGGCATCAAGCTGTCCCTGTCCCCTCTGCAGCTGAGCCCAAGTGGCTGCTACTGCTGCAAGGGCCAGGTAGACTACTGGGGGTGTAAGGAGCCAGCGCCAGTGACAGTGCCAGTGCCAGGTGAGCACCCCATAGCATCCCAGTGTGGGGGAGGCCCTGTTGGAATTGGGGATCCCTGTTGATCTGGGTGTGACTCCAGGGGGGGATCCCCATGAAAACGGGACCCACTGTGTGACAGGACCCCCATGTCCTACAGCTCGGTTAGAATTGCAAGTGTCAGCACAGGAGCTGCTGGAGGGGGACACAGTTACACTGCGCTACCGGCACTGGCGAGACATGTCGGTCACTGGAGCGTGATTCTTCCATGGAGACAAGGAGGTGGGGAGGTCCCTCAATGGGACTGAGCTGTCCCTGTCCCCCCTGCAGCTGAACCACAGCGGCCACTAGAGCTGCAGGGGCTGGGTGGATTCTGAAGTGTCATTGTGGGCACAGTTGGTGCCAGTGAAAGTGACAGTGCACAGTGAGTATCCCCACGGCTGGAACTCCAATCTCCTGGCACCCCCAAAGCCACTTCCCAGCAAACTCAGAGTCACAGTCCTCACCTCCCCTCTCCTTCCCTGAGCTCTTCATGGTGCCGGTGCTGGAGTGTCCCCTCGAGCCCTTCCAGGGGTCCCCCCTAACTCTCAGCTGCCTCAGCACCCCAGCACACTAGGGGTCCCCAATTCCAATACAGGGGCCCCTCCACACTGGGATGCTTTGGGATGTCCCCAGAGCAGGGCACAGGCTCTGGTCACACAGGAGGTGACCCATGGAGCAGCGCCAACCCAGAGCCCTTGGGGCCCCCGCAGGTGCCAGGCTCGGGACACTCAAACCCTCTCACCATCTGAGACTGTCATGGGGGGTTGTTTCCACTTCTGGGTCTGGCACACCTGTAGGTGCCACTCTTGGTGACAGTGGTCGCGTCCCTGCTGCCCCCAGCGCTGCCCGTCCTTGTACCAGATGGTGGCACCGGCAGTCCCCGAGCCCTGGCAGGTCAGTGTCACCCGGTCCCACAACACCGCCGGCCTCCAGGGGAGCTCCACCAGGAGCTGGGTGGTCTGGGCACCTGTGGGTGACAGGGGACACCAGCCTGCCAGGGCCAGCGTGGGGCTGGGGACAGCGGGGTGGGGCCATGGCATCCCCGGAGGACTCACCAGCAAGGTCAAGGGTCTGGGCTGGAAGGGTGAAGGGACAGGGCTCAGTGGGAGTGGCACTGAACGGCACCTGGGACACAGGGTGTGGTGGGGGTCCCGAAACTGTCCCCATAGGTGTTGAAAGCAAAGGGAGCCAACCCATCTTTGTTGATCAGCATCAACTCCCATTTATTGATCAAATCAGCCACCTTTTGTAACAGTGTTAATTAACTTCATGCATATCGCAAAATTCGAGCTCACGATAAGTTACAGAGAAAACTCTAACCCCTCCTTTTGTTTACAATACCTGTGGTTTGTTTATTGAAAACAGGATCAGTGTTCTCATCGTGATATGAAAAGTTCTCAAAACCTTCATATCTGTTCCCAGAGCAGCTATCTGTTCCCAGTAGCAGCCAAGGACAGAATGTTTTGCCTGTTATGAGAAGACTGTCTGAGAATCTTATTGTTTATGAAATGGTGCTTGAGAACCTAATTATTTACAGAATCAAGCCTGGGAAATGCTGCTTTACAGCTACCTTTTACTTTCCCATCAGCTGTATACCTTCATGGCCTCTTTCTTTAAGCCATGCTTGAACAAGGCTCTCCACACATAGGGGCAGCACTTCTTGTGGGAAAGTGCATGGGGGTGGTCCCCAAAATATTTGGAGAGGCTGGGGGACATGTCTGTGTCAGAGTCACCCGTGCACCACATCCCTGTGGCATGAACACTTTGGGAGCAGGGACACCGAGGCCACCCTGGGCTGAGGCAGAACATGGGGACACTGTGGACACCCCAGGCACAAGGACATCACAGATACACCCCATCCTGGCCCAGGTCACTCCCACCAGCTCATGATCCCATTCCATGATCCCATCCTCATGGCCACATCCTCACCATTCTTGTCCCCTTCTGTCCGTGTATCCCAGTTCCCTTGTCCCTATCCCCAGAGCGACCTGAGCCCAAAGGTGCCAGTTCCCACATTCCTGTCCCCACATCTCCAACCCAAAATTCCTGCCCCTCTTCCTGTCCCCAAAGCCACCCTACATCCCCAGTCACACCCAGGTCCACTGTGGGTAACATGGACTGGTTCTGCTGGCATTGGGGACCTCAAGGGACCCCACAGCTCTCCTGTGCCCCCTCCCCTCCCCATCCCTGGGGTGTCAGGCCCATGCCCGGGGCACTCACCCCACAGGAGCATTGCCACCTTCCCGGCCATCCCAGTGTCCCCAGCCATGTGCACTGGCTGTCACTCACTGCTGTGGCCACCGCTCCCCTGGCTGGTGGCTCTTCGGATAAAGGGGAAGGAAGCGAGGTCACATCTCAACCTTATGCGTAGGTGGCCTTTGGTGGGGGCCGGGTGGCCTCAAGCTGAGGACAAGCTGGGGACAAGGCTGCATAGTCTGTGGACATGTTTGGGGATGCTGTTGCCAGGAGTGGGGGGCTCAGGGGATGTGGGGAACTAAGGATGGGTGTCCAGTAGAATAGGCCGCTAGGGGAATTGGGGCCTCCATGCCGGGGGGGTTCCAGGACTGGGGGTGCTGTGGAAACATGTTTCCTGGGGATTTGGGGTCATGGCATGTGGGTGCCAGGGTTGGGGGTGCAAAGGGAAAGGAGACCCTGGAGAACAGAGGTTCTGGGGGAGGAAGCTGCCCATGAGATTTGATCAAGGCAATGGTGGTCCTGGGCAATGGCAGTCCTGGGATGGGAGTCTTCTGGGAGGAGAGAGCAAGGCAATGGGGTTGGGTTCCAAGGGGAATGGGGGTGCCAGGGATGGGCTATGTCTGTGTGGGCACAGAGGTCAAAGCTGCTTCCGGGATTCCCTCAGATTTTTGGGTGACTCAGAACCCAGCACAGTCCCCACAGTGCTCATGGCCAGGGGGGCAACTCAAGGTTGTCCTGGGAGGTTCTCGATCTCTGCCCCACACACTCCTGGGCTTTTTCCTGCCACTCCCATTTCCCAGCTCAGTGACCTCAGCAAACATGTGATGACCAATTGGCTGGGACAAAATTACACATCCATAGAATAAAGGCAAGAATCTTTTCCCACACCATTATTTTCCCAATAAAAAATAAATCAAACTGACAAGGTATAAAATTATCTGGTTTAGAGAATACTTTGAATCATTGCTTTCCCAACAAGTCACTCACAATGAAAACACAAACAAATCACAAAAAAAGATGGCTTTTTTCTCCCTTTAGGAGCCCCGTGCTGCATCCAAGGGCAGCATTTGCTTGTGGATACCACAGAGTGCATGGAATCTCCCTGAGTATCCAACAGCTCCATGCAACTGTTCCCTGCCTGCTTGGCAGTAACCCAGCCCCTAAGGAAGCCTTTTGTTGAGCCATATTTAGGAATTCTCCCCATTTTTCTCAGTCCCACCCTGAAACTTGAATGACTTCCCATGGACTCAGCTCCCCAAATGGGAGAAGCTCTGCCCATTATTGGGACAGTGCACAGGAATCTGTGGAAATGCCCATGTGTGTCTCAGGGTTTGATTCCCTGGTAAATCCACTCCAGCCTGCCCTGAATTCCCCTGCCTGGGCACTCCGTGCTCCTGCTCTGGCACTCCTGTTCCCCAACGCCTTGTCTGCAGCCCCTGCTCAATATTTCCAGACTTTTCCCTCTCTTCTGGTGTGCACATCCAGAACCCAAACATTCTTTCTTGGAGGTTCCAAAGGGCTGCAGGTTTTGTTGAAGAAGGAGGGTCAAGGTCAGGTTGTTGAGCAGATTGTTGTTGTCTTTGCAGTAGTGCTGGGGCTCTCTCAGTCCCTTGCTGAGAGGGAAAAAATGATCAATTGCTGCCTTTCTGGACTGGTTCCCACACAGCTGCCCTTGCAGGGGCAGTTTCCAGCCAGCCCTGCTCTGAAAACCATCAAAGGCCCTTGTAGAGCCACTGCTTGGGCTCCCTTTTGGTTTTGTGCTTCTTGCAGAGCTGAGCAAACCACAGGCAGGCCTTTTTCCACCACAGAATTCTCACTTCTACAGCAGCTCTAAAGCTGCTAGAATCAAAGCCAAGGGGGCAGGGGGGACCCTCAGTTGCTGGCTGCCACCTGGGGCTGGCCAGAGCAGGGCTAGGCAATGGCCGTCCCTGTGCAGTGGGGCTGGGCCATGACTGGGCCCCATCCTTGCATTGACAGGCACCCGGCAAGGAATGTGCAGGGACATTTCTGAAACTGCCACCCATGGGGACAGGACACCCCATGCCAGGATGTGTCACCCCCTGGACTGGTTTCTCCCAGGTCAACTCCACAACAGGGACCTCACAGGGCAGGACCCTCCTGGATGTGCCCTCCCAGGACAGACAATGCCTCCCTTCGCCATCTGACTCTCAGCACAAATGGCCTCTTCCTTTTTGTCCAGGAAAAAGAAAGTGAAAGTGTTGAGGGGGCGCAGCCCAACACCTCCATCCCCCACAGCCTCCCCATCCTTCCCTGCTCTCCTTACTCCCAATTATCCCCCTCCCATGGCTTCCCCCAATGCGTTCCCTGCTCAGGTGATTCCTGGGATTGCGGAGCCAGGAACTGGGGTTGAGGGGACATGGCATAAAAGTGAGGAAAAAAAGGAAGAAAACAGAAATAAAGAGAGAAAAAATCAAGGGCAGGGGAAGGCACAGAAGCAGAGGTACCCAGGACCCCCATGTGATACCTGCACAGGAAACAAGCATCCCAAGGGGGCAGCACCTGGCCATGGGTCACCCCAAAATCTGAGGCACCCAGGGAAGGAGCTGTGACCCCCATGCCCCCGCAGCAATTGCCCATCCCAGCACCCCTATTCATTTGGGACCCCAATCATGGGAATCTAATTTCCTTTTGTACCTCCTTCCCTAAGACCCCTTCCCTGGACTGCAGTTCCTCACGATCTCCTACCCCAAAGAACCCCATCCTGGTAATTCCAGTCCCTGGGAGCCCCATTCCCTTGGGGACATTGATTCCACCAGGGCCCCTATTCTTACAGGGTTCCCCTTTCCCCTGTCACCCCCATCCCTTGGCCCCCATCCCATGATCACAAATCCCTGGAGGCCACATTGTTCTGGCACCCTCATCCCCAAGTTTGAGTCCATCCATCCACTGGGACCCCCATTCCAATGGGACCCGATCCCTGGGCACCCCATTGCTCTGGAAACCTATTTCTGGCTCCCTACACCACCTCAGACTCCAAATTCTGTCCCCACCATGTCCCACCATCACCCCCACATCCCACAAGTTCCCCACCCTGCCCCCATCCTGTCCCCAGCCTGCCCCCACCAAGGGCCACCTACATGTGGGGACGGACGTGACCTCGCTTCCTTCCCCTTCATCCGAAGAGCCACCAGCCAGGGGAGCGGTGGCCACAGCAGCGAGTGACAGCCAGTGCACATGGCTGGAGACACCAGGATGGCTGGGAAGGTGGCGCTGCTCCTGTGGGGTGAGTCCCCTGGGCACGGGCCTGACACCCTGGGGATGGGCCCTGGTGAGGCAGAGACTAGTGGGGAGGGGAACAGAGGGGAGCTGCAGGGTCCCCTGAGGTCCCGAAAGGCCACAGAGCCAGAGCATGAGGTGACCAGGGCTGTGGGGACAGGAGAGGGGGGACAATAACGGGGGACAGGGATTTGGGGAACTCTCATGGGGCTGGTGGGGGTGACCACTGCAACCACTGTTGAGTCTCCTTTTCCGTATGTCCAACGTGTCCCCATGTCTTAACTGAGCAAGGGCTAGTCGGTGTGTCTCTGCCCCCAGGGGGTACTTGCCACACTATGACAGTTTATGGACAGCCCCCACACCCAGTCCCTCCCTTCCAATGTCCCTGTGATGCCACCCTCACCCAGCCCTGTCCCTTCTCCCTTCCAGCCCAGACCCTCGGCCTCGTTGGTGAGTCCTCGGGGGATGCCATGGCCCCAACCCTGCTGTTCCCAGCCCCACGCAAGCCCTGGCAGGCTGGTGTCCCCTGTCACCCACAGGTGCCCAGACCACCCAGCTCCTCGTGGAGCCCCCCTGGAGGCCGGCAGTGCTGTGGGACCGGGTGACACTGACCTGCCAGGGCTCAGGGACTGCCGGTGCCACCATCTGGTACAAGGACGGGCAGCGCTGGGGGCAGGAGGGACATGACCACTTCACTGTCACCGAGAGTGGCACCTACACGTGTGACAGACCCGGCAACGGGCACAGCCCCTCTGTGACAGTCTCAAATGGTGAGAGGGGTTTGGTTGTCTCCAGCCTGGCACCTGCAGGGACCCCAAGGTCTCTGGGTGTGCTCTGCTCCATGGGTCACATCCTGGTGTGACCAGAGCCCATCCCCTGTACATGGGGAGATCCCAGAGCATCTCAGAGTGGAGGGACCCCAGTTCTGGATTCAGGGAACCCTGCTGCACTGGATGTGTTCCAATTCGAGGGTCCTTGAGAAAATTGAATGCCACAGGTGTCCTAAGACTCCCATGTTCCACAGCCCGACTGGTGCTGCAGGTGCCGGCGCAGGAGCTGCTGGAGGGGGACACGGTGACACTGCGCTGCCGGCGCTGGGCGAACATGTCGGTCACTGGGGTGCGATTCTACCATGGGGACAAGGAGGTGGAGAGGTCCCTCAGTGGGACCGAGCTGTCCCTGTCCCCTCTGCAGCTGAACCACAGCGGCCGCTACAGCTGCGGGGGCCAGGTGGACTCCAAGGTGGCACCGTGGGCGCACTCGGCTTCAGTGACAGTGACAGTGCACGGTGAGCACCCCACAGCCGCCACCCTGACACCCTCACAGCCCCTCCCCCGGGACTTGGGCTCACAAATCTCCCTCCCCTCTCCTTCCCAGAGCTCTTCTCGGTGCCAGTGCTGGAGGGTCCCCCTTATCTTACTGTGGGATCCCCCCTGACTCTCAGCTGCCTCAGCACCCCCAGCCCCCTGCGGCCCCGAGCCCCCCTCCTGCACCTGTTCTACCAGGATGGGCACATGGTGAGAGGCCCGCAGGGGTCCCCGCAGCTGCTGGTGCCCGCCGTGGGGGTCTCCCATTCGGGGAATTGCAGCTGCCAGGTGCAATCCGAGGGGGGGATCGTGCGGAAGAGCAGCGCCCGACTCCGCATCACGGTGTGCAGTGAGTGCGGGGATGGGCACAGGGAGCCCCCACAGCCTCCTCGGGGGCCCCTGCCCTGTCTGGGGATCCCCATAACTACCCGGGTCGCCCATCCTTTCCTGGGTACCTCACCAGATCCCCCAGCCCTATGTGGGTACCCCCATCTTTCTGGTAATCTTTTTCCACATCCCCTCATTCCTGCTTGGGTCACCCTCTGTGCCCCCCCATTCCTCACTGGCATCCCTTCATCTGTCCCTGATTTAAGCTCAGCCCTGTCTGATCTCCCTCCATGGTCCTCAAGTCTCACCATTCCCTCCCTGGTTTTACATAATCTTCCTGGGGTCTCTCCATCTTCCTCTCCAGGTTACTCATCCTTGAGCCCTTCATCATTCCTTGGGGTCCCGTTCCAAGCCCCCCTCCTATCTCTCTGCCTCCTTTTCCTCACTGTGGTCCCACTTCCCCTCTCCCATCCCTCCCCATCACGGGTCTCTCACTGTTCCCTGGTGTTCTCCCATCCAAGGGGTCCTGCCCTTGAGGGGTGTCCCTGTCAGTGCAGCCCCCTGGGGGACAGGTGGCATGCAGGGACTGACTGGTGCTGAGCTAGGCGGTGGCTGCGGGTCCCCTGTCCTTCTCCTGGCACCGGGAGGGCTCAGGGGCATTGCTGGGAAGCGGTCCCTGCCTGCAGCTGTGCCATGCTGGGGACAATGACAGCGGCCAGTACCGGTGCCGGGTCAGCGATGGGGACAGCGTGGCTGAGAGTGACCTCCTGAATGTCACCGTCGTGACACCTCCCATGGCACCCCCATCCCACCTCGCCCAGTGCCAGCCCTGTCTCTGTCCCCACAGTGCCTGTGGCCAATGCCACCATCACCCCCGGTCCCCTGTCACACCAGGTGCATGCCGGTGACCCCGTGACCCTGCACTGCTCAGTGCAGGTGGGCTCAGCCCCTGTCACTTTCACCTGGCTGCACAACGGGCAGGAGGTGGCCCGGGGTCCCCTCCTGGAGCTTGGAGCTGTTGATGTGGGACATTCGGGCACCTACCAGTGTGTGGCCACCAACCAGCTGGGACAGGACGGGCACTGCGTGTTCCGGGCACTCAGCCCAGAGCTGGTCCTGGCTGTGACAGTGCGGGGACACAGGGACACAGGTGGGGTCACACTGGGTCACATGGGGGGTGCAGGACTCCTGGGCTTCTGGGTGACCCCAATGTGTCCCTCTCTGTCCCCAGCAGTGGCTCTAGGGCTCAGTGGGTCCCTGCTGTTCCTGCTCCTGCTCCTGGCTGTCACTGGGGGCTGTTACCAGTGGCACTGCTGTGGTGGGTGACAATACGGGGGGATGGGGTTCCCAGGGATTGGGGTGAAGTCCCCCAGGGTATGGGAGCCATAGGGTGGCATCAACAGCTCCTGACTTGGGAGAAACTGATCCTGCAGAGACCTCAGCTTGGGGTCCTGGGGGATTTGGAGAGGTTGTGCGGGATTGTGCAGGGAAGTTGGGGGTTCTGTCAGGGGTTTTGGGGGAGTTTTTGGGACTCTGGGGTCTCAGTGGATTGAAAAGTTGGTTTAATGTATTCTGGGACTTTCAAAGATGCTTGAGGGTCCCAGGGACAGTCAGGGGTCGCCATGGTGTTCAGAAGCCCTGAGAACCCCAGCATCACCCCTCATGCTTTTCTTTTGCAGCCCTCAGGAAACAGCAAGAAAGGTGAGTGAAGGACTCCAGGTTTGAACCTCCATTTTACCTCCACAACAAAACCCCCCCCATGCCCACAGACACCCCCTTATCCCTGCAGGGCCTCGCCAGAGCCCTCGGCCCTCCCAGAGGCAGGGGAGGTGCTTTACAGTGATGTCGTGAGCATCAAGAAGGCAGGTGGGGAGTACAGGGGGACATGGGGGACATCACCCAGGGGGTGTCACCCTCAATCCAGGTCCCCACAACCGGTGTCTCTCACAGGGCCCCCCCGTGCCACATCCCCCCAGGTGATCTATGCAGAGCTGCCAGGACCCCACCGGAGGCAGCAGGACCCCAGGGACATCTGCGAGAACGTGCTGTGACACTGAGGGCACAGGGAGCACTGGGGTCCCTGCCCAAGGGCACCCCCAGCTCCCATGGGTGCCCACCGTGCCCAGGGAGTGGCCACGAGTGGGGGCTCCCATGTGGAGCTGCCCAGGGCTCCCCGTTCAAGTGCTCCCAGTGCTCCCAGTACCCCCAGCAGCTCCCCATTTCCTCCTCTACTACCAGGAGGCACAGGACCCTTGTCCCTTTTACTGGACCCAAATATCAGCTTTTTGATTAAACCAGAAGAAATGGTTTTTGTTTGTTTAGCTCTGCCCTGTTTGGGTCAGGAAGGAGGAGGGTCCCGCCTGGTTGTTGAATCAATACTTCTCAGTTCTCAAGATTCAGAATTCAAAGGGTCACAAAAGGAACCATTTCCAGGGAAAGCACTCAAAAAGGAACAAACCCCAGAGGTTTCCCCTGGCACGATTCCTCCACCAGGAGGAACCTGGCAGGTCCCGGAACTTCACTGCTCTGATGGCCAAAGTGGCATTTAGGAGTCTCTGGATTCTCTTGTCCCCTGTCCCAAACCCCTCCTCTTCCGTGTTCCCAACACCAGGATGTCACAAGGGCCCTGTGGGGGTTCCAGAGCCTCCTCCTTTGCCAGGGCAGTCAGGATCAGGCCATGGCACAGGGTGGGGTGTCAGAGACAGGAAAAGTTTGATGTCTGGAGACATTTTGGAACACCTGTGTCTGGCAGGGGTGGGCCAGACCGTGCTTTTGCTGAGACAGGGCCCCGTCTGTCCATCAGTCTGTCAGCCATGGCACACTGGGGACATTGTGACACTCTGCCAAAGCCAGCTCCTGAGTGGCCAGGAGACCAGAAGTGCCAGCTGGGGAGAGGGCGCTTGGTGGCCCAACTGGCTTAAAGGGCAGAGCATGAGGTGGCACATGCCTGACCCTGTCTTCAGTTGAGGTCTCTGTCCCATCCACACTGGAACCCAGGATTTGACCACTCGTTTAAATGAGAAATATTTGCCAAGGAAGGTGTGAATGTTCCCGGAATGGAAAGAAGACCCATGCCTAAAACTTTTGTTAATTTCAAAAATGATGGGGCTTCCAGGCCAAAGTGTTGGAGAATGAATAACAGCTCTTTCCTGGGAAATTTATAAACCAGAACAGAAGAAACAACACAAACCCAGAACTTTCCCTCCTGCTCAGCGCTGTTGGTTTTTGTGGCAGTTTTAACCCCGGCCAACAGGGGACTCTGCAGGGAGCACTCTCGCCCAGCAGGGGGCGCCCCGGTCCAGCTCCATCCCCTCAGGGGGCATGGCGGCCTCGGATGGGAGGGAGGAAGGGAAATCACTCCTTTTGCAAACTCACGGGCCCCAATCGGTCCCGGCACCATCACTGGAAGCGGTCAGAAGCCGCCAAGGCAGCAGGTTGGATCCCAGTGCCCACTGGCAGTGTAGCAGTGTCCTGGGGCCAGGCTCACGCCCTGCACAACAACCGCAACCACTGTCTATAATCCCAGAGGGAAGAAAGGCAGCGCCTGACATGTCTCGGGTTCACAACATCACTTCTGCTTGCTTTACAGCCTTCCATTCCCTTTTCCTCCTTCAGCCTGGGCACAGCAGCTCTGGGAATGTTGAGTTTCCCTGGGATGCTGAGGAAAGCTCGTGCTCAGTGCTGACTCTGCCAGGGCTCCTCAGGTGGCTGCAGAGCACATTTGGATTTCCTGCTCTTCCTGGGCCACTGCTGGTTCTGACACAGCTGCTGCAGGAAAGGAGGAGGAGAGCAGAGGCACAGCCCTGAGGGCTCTGCAGCTGCAGCACAGAGATAGCCAGGGCTGGGAGCTGTGCCTTGAGAGGGCAAAATGGGGCTAAATTGGAGCTGTTTGGGCCAATGCCCCTGTTCTGCTCCAGACGCTGCAGACCCTTCAGGAGATGTTGTAATTATTGTTGGGATTTCTGAAGGTCTGCTGTGTTCCTAAAGCATCCCTGTGCACAAACACAGGGCTCTGCTGCTTCTCCTGGGGATTTTGGGATTCTGCGGCTGAGGCGGGAGCGGCTGGAGCAGGTGGCCCACGGGAAAAGCACCTGGCCATGCAGGTGGAGCAGGAGCGCCGGGAATTCTGCAGGGTGCTCAGGTGAGGCCCAGGGGGGCCGGGCCATGGTGGGACACCACTTGCCATTCTTGCTCTCCCCAGATTTTGAGACAAAGCAGTGACACCCATCAGGCTCCCAAACCCCTCAGGGTCTAGGCGCAGCCTCACAGGAGGTCCCGGCCCAGGCCTTGGGGATGATTCGGATACTCCCGGGCTCGTTCCCGACAAAGGGCAGCGCTCCAGGAGCAGTCGGCACATCCCGAAGGAGCAGCCCGGGGCTGCTGGAGCCCGAGTGCTGTGGGCAAGGACAGCGTGAGGGAGCCGGGCCCCGCTCAGCCGGCGCTGCCCCATGAACGTCTCATCCTGCAGGGGCTCGGCAGCCTCTGCTGGTGCCGGCCCCGGGGCTGTCAGGGGGCGCGGCCGGAGGGGCCGGGGGGCAGCGGGTGGGGAGGGTCGGGATGGAGGGACCGGGACCCCACTGGGGAGTCCCGAGCATGGAGGGAGCGAAACGGCGGAGGGGAGACCCCGGGACAGGGGGGAGCAGAGACCCTGTGGTGGGGTCTGCGGAAAGGAGGGACAGCAATGGTGGTCCCGGAGCACCGGGAAGGGGCCCAGCTGGTATCGCGCTGCGAGTGCTGGGACGGTCACGGGGTGTCCGAACCAATTGTGGCAGCGTGTCCGAAGCCACTGTCGCGATGTGTCGGGACCGAGCATTGCCAGGGTAAGGCCCTCACAGCTCTGGGAAGTGGAGGGGTACCCTGAAAGGGGTGGGGCAGGGGCGGGGCAGAGCCCTGTCTATTCCCTGTGCCCTGTGCAGGTGAGGAGGGCAGGGATGGAGCAGCTTTGGGAACACCTGGAATCCAGACAGGGTCCCTGCCCACCACGGCTGCAGGGTAAATCCCCTGCTCAACATTTCCATCCTTTTCTCTCTTGTCTTGCAACTGAGCCAGAACCCAAAAATACTTTCCAGGATGTTCTAAAGGGCTGCAGGTTTGAGACAGGAAGGAGGAGGAGGGTCCTGATCAGATTGTTGAGCAGATGGTTGTTGTCTTTGCTGGATTTTCGGGTTTCTCCCCGTCCCTTGCCTAGAAGGATAAAGTGATCAATTGCTGCATTTCTGGACTGGTTCTCCCAGAGCTGCCCTTGTAGGGGCAGTTTCCAGCCAGCCCTGCTCTGGAAAGCATCAAAGGCCCTCTCAGTGACACTGCTTGGGCTCCTTTTGGGTTTTGTGCCTCTTGCAGGGCTGAGCAAACCACAGGCATGCCTTTTTCCCCCACTGAATTCTCATCTTTGCAGCATGTGAAAACCACGTTCTCTCTCCTGTGAGAATTTTAGAAGTTTAATAAAGGACAATAGGAGACAAGGACCATAGAGCAAAGGTTGTTATGGGTGGGTGCATCTTGGCACGCAGCCAAGAGCACACTGTTCTCTTCGGGGATACCTCTTAGATACCTTTTCCTTTAGATCAGCCTGTTGCATATTCATAGACACTTATGCATAGAAAACTTTTTCCCCAAGCTAATTTACATTCCAAGAATTGTTTAGCATGGCTCCTCCTTGGATCTGCCTTTTTAGAGCATTATTCCTTGATTCTGCTTTTAGCCATTTCTTATAATCATCTTCATTTCTGGGCCTTGGTCTACACTGTCTTCAGGTGGTGAGTGCTGATGGTTGGCATATCTGTAGCAGGTGTCCTCATCCTGTCTTCATCAGATGTTGTCCCATCCAAGCAGGCATTTTTTCACAAGCATCCTTATATCAGCTATTTCACAAAGCTTAATTAACAACAGACATAAAAAATATATCTTTATAACAAAGTTACTTTAACATTACATATAAAAATTCCATTTTAACATTTGTTAAATTCCAGTAATATAATATGTATTTACAATACTTGGTGAAAGGGACAAAGTGATCAATTGCTGCATTTCTGGACTGGCTCCCCCTCAATGCCTCTGCAGGGGCGTTTCCAGTCAGCCCTGCTCTGAAAACCATCAAAGGCCCTCACAGAGCCACTGCTTGGGCTCCCTTTGTGGTTTGTGCTTCTTGCAGGGCTCAGCAAACCACAGACAGGCCTTTTCCCCCACACAATTCTCACCTCTGCAGCAGCTCTAAGGCTGTCAGAATCAAAGCCAAGGGGGCAGGGGGGACCCTCAGTTGCTGGCTGCCCCCTGGGGCTGGCCAGAGCAGGGCTGGGCAATGGCCATCCCTGTGCAGTGGGGCTGGGCCATGGCTGGGCCCCACCCTTGGATGGCCACTGGCTTCAAGGAGCAGGAGTCTGGGAGCTCCTTCCTGCCTGGGGCTCCATTCCCCAGCTGTTCTTGCTGGCTCAGATCCTGCAGGGGACGAGCAAGAATGGAGAAGTCTGGAAACACCAAGAGCTGCCATCCCCCAGGACAGGAGCCCCTTGTCCAGCATGTGTCCCCCCTGGGACACGATCCCCCCAGGACAGGAGCCCCCTTTATTTGCCCCCCCCAGGGCAGAACCCTCCTCCCATGTGACACTCAGCACAAACGGCCTGTTCCATCTGCTGCAGGACAGAGAAAGTGAAAGTGTAGGCAGAGTGAAAGCTGACTCCTCCATCCCCCACAACCTCCCCAGCCCTCCCTGCAGACCCCTCACCCCTGCTTCCCCCACCCTGGGCTTCCCCCAACTCGTTCCCTACTCAGAAGCTCCCCAGGATCATCAAGGCATGAACTGGGAGGTTGTGAAATTGAGGGATAAAAGGAAGGAAATGGAAATGAAGAACAGAAAATGCCCCTGGGCGTTGGGGGGGGGACACAGACTCAGAGCAGCTCTGAATCCCCTCTTGTTGCCCCCCCCAAATCACGGGCAACCCAGCAGGCAGCTCTAGCCCCTGAGTCTTCCCAAAATCTGAGGCACCCAGGGAAGGAGCTGTGACCCACATGCACATCCTGTCACTGTAAATCCCTGGCAAACTCATTCCCCTGGGAAGCTGACCATGGGACCCCCATTCCTTCTGTCGCCCCTTTCCTGAGACCCCCATCCCAGGGCTGCCATTGCCCAGGAACTCCATGGCCCAGGACCCCATTCCCAAGAAACCCTCTCCCATTCATTCCATGCCCTGAAATCCCCATTGCCCCGGGACTTTCATTCTCCCAGGTCCCCCCCATTCCCCCTGCACCCATCTCTGGCACAAAAATGCCTTGATGAGGGATTTATTACAATTAAAATATTTTCTTATATACCCTTTTAAAATTTTAAATGTACTTTACCTTTCTCCTAGTCTCATCTCAAAACAAAAAAGAAATAAATACATTCTGATAAATGCACTAATAATTAACCAACACTAAACCCACCACACTAAATATTACATTAACCAAAATATCTCAAATTAGCAAACCAAAAACATGACACCAAATCCCTGGAGCTCACCATCCCCTGGGACTCCCATCCTTGAGTCCCCCCAGCCCTGGGGACCCCCATTCCCATGGCACCCCAACCCCCGTGACTCCCCCTCCTCATGACCCCAATTCCCCATGGACCCATTCCCTGGACCCCCATTCCCTGGACTCCCCATTCCCCTGGACACCCATCCCTGGCTCCCCAAACCCCCTGAGCCCCCCTGCTCCTGGGAAGCTCAGGTCCCACCGACCTAGAGACAGCCTTGTCCCCAGCATGTCCCCACCCTGCCCACAGCCTGTCCCCAGCTTGTGGCCACCCTGCCCCCACTAGGTGCCACCTACACATGGGGACGAGATGTGACCTCGCTTCCTTCCCCTTCATCCAAAGAGCCGCCAGCCAGGGGAGCGGTGGCCACAGCAGTGAGTGACAGCCAGTGCACATGGCTGGGGACACCGGGATGGCCGGGAAGGTGGCACTGATCCCGTGGGGTGAGTGCCCCGGGCACGGGCCGCACTGGTAGTACCCCGGGGATGGGCACTGGTGAGGCAGAGAGTGGTGGGGAGGGGGCACAGGGGAGCTGCAGGGTTCCCTGAGGTTCCCAATGCCAGCAGAGCCAGAGCATGAAGTGACTGGGGTCATGGGGTGGCTGTGGGGACAGGAGAGGGTGAACAGGGCTGGAGGGATAGGAATGTTGGGAGGGGCATCCTGGGGCCAGGGCAGCTGTGGGGACAGGGACACAGGGATGCAGGGATGCAGGGACAGGGAGAAGAGGACAAGCACAATGTGGATGGGCCATGGAGACAGAGGCCATGGGGCTGTCGGGGGAGACCTGTGCTAGCACAGTGTCTCCATCGAGACATCTGTGCCACACCAATTCCCTCAGGGGGACAGTTCAAGGGCAGCCCCTATGAACCATTCCCCTGTGCACAACTGTCCCCATGGTGTCACACTCACTGAGCCCTGTCCCTTCTCCCTTCCCACCCAGACCCTCGGCCTCGCTGGTGAGTCCTCGGGGGATGCCATGGCCCCACCTTGCTGTCCCCAGCCCCACACTGGCCCTGGCAGGCTGGTGTCCCCGGTCACCTGCAGGTGCCCAGACCACCCAGGTCCTGGTGGAGCCCCCCTGGATGCTGGCAGTGCTGTGGGACCGGGTGACACTGACCTGCCAGGGCTCGGGGAACACTGGTGTCACCACCTGGTACAAGGATGGGCAGCGCTGGGGGCAGGAGAGACACAACCACCTCACTGTCACTGAGAAAGGCAACTACACGTGTGAGAGACCCGGCACTGGGCTCAGCCCTCCTGTGACAGTCTTAGATGGTGAGGGGGGTTTGGGTGTCCCCATCCTGGCACCAGCATTGACCCCTGGGCTCTGGGTGGGCTCTGCTCCATTGGTCACCTCCTGTGTGACCAGAGCCTGTCCCCTACTCTGGGGGCATCCCAGAGCATCCCAGAGCATCCCAGTGCTGGCAGACCCTGTTTGTGGATTTGGGGATCCCTGGTGTGCTGTGTGTGAGCCAATATGGGGGCTGCGATGGCATTGGGACCTGCCAGGTGTAACAGGACCCCCGTGTCCCGCAGCCCCATTGGTGATGCAGGTGCTGGCACAGGCACTGCTGGAGGGGGACATGGTGACACTGTGCTGCCGGCGCTGGCGGGACAACCCGGTCAGCTCAGTGTCCTTCTACCACAAGGAGAAGAAACTGCAGGAGCTCCGCGATGGGACCGAGCTGTCCCTGTCCCCTCTGCAGCTGCAACACAGCGGCCGCTACAGCTGCAGGGGCTGGGTGAAATCCACGGTATCACGGGGATGGGAGAAGTCAGAATCAGTGACATTGACATTGCATGGTGAGCACTCCACAACTGTCACTCTAACCCACCCCACAGCCTCTCCCTAGTGACTCGGGCTCACAAATCTCCCTCCCCTCTCCTTTCCAGAGCTTTTCACGGTGCCGGTGCTGGAAGTTCACTCTGAGCCCACTAATGGGGCCCCCCTGACTCTCAGCTGCCTCAGCACCCCCAGCCCCCTGCGGCCCCGAGCCCCCCTCCTGCATGTGTTCTACCGGGACGGGCGGGTGCTGGGGGGCCCACAGGGGTCCCTGCAGCTGCTGGTGCCCGCCATGGGGGTCTCCCACTCAGGGAATTACAGCTGCCAGGTGCACTCTGAGGGGGGGACCGTGCAGAAGAGCAGCGCCCAGCTCTGCGTCAAGGTGCGCAGTGAGTGCGGGGATGGGCACGGGGAGCCCTCACTGCCTCCTCGGGTGCCCTGCCTGGGTACCTCCATTACTGCCCCATTCCCCCCATCCCTCACTGGATCCCTCCACCCATCTCTGAGTCAACCCCACCCCTCTCTGCTGTTTTCCCGCAGTCCACAAGTCTCACCATACCCTCTCTGGGTCTCCATACCCGCACTGGGGTCGTCCCATCTCCCGCTCCATGTGTCCCCTCATTAAACACTCCATCCTTCCTTGGGGTACCTATCCAAGCCCCCCCCCCCCCGCAGCTCTGCACCGCCTCTCCTCTCCCTCACTGGGATCTCCCTGCCCCTCCCTGACCTCCCCCCAAGTCCCTCAATGCTCCCTGGTGTTACCCTCTCCCGCAGGGGTTCTGCCCTCGGGGGTGTCTCTGTCAGCACAGCCTTGTGCTGAGCTGCACGGTGGCCACAGGGACAGGTCACCTGTCCATTTCCTGGTACCCGGGAGGGCTCAGGGGCACCCCTTGGCACTGGCCCCACCTGGAGCTGCACCACACTGGGGACAATGGCAGCGGCCACTGCCAGTGCAGGGACAGCATGGCTGAGAATGTCCCCCTGAATGTCACTGTCCTTTGTGAGCGGGACCCTCAGACTTGGGGTGACCCCACCCATGGCACCCCCATCCACCTCACCAGGTGCCAGCCTTGTCTGTGTCCCCACAGTGCCCGTGGCCAATGCCACCATCACCCTCAGTCCCCTGTCACACCTGGTGCGCTCAGGAGACAACGTGACCCTGCGCTGCTCTGTGCAGGTGGGCTCAGCCCCTGTCACCTTCACCTGGCTGCACAATGGACAGGCGGTGGCCCGGGGTCCCCTCCTGGAGCTCAGGGCTGTTGATGTGGGACATTCGGGCACCTACCAGTGCATGGTCACCAACCAACAGGACGGGAACCAGGCACTCAGTTCAGAGCTGGCCCTGGAGGTGACAACACAGGAACAGGGCACAGGTAGGGTCACACAGGGTCACATGGGGACTTCAGGACCCCCGGGGTTTTGGGTGACCCCAATGTGTCCCTCTCTGTCCCCAGCAGTGGCCGCAGGGGTCTGTGGGTCCCTCCTGTTCCTGGTTCTGCTCCTGGCTGTCATTGGAGGCTGGCATTGGTGGCACCACCCAGGTGCGTGACAATGAAGGGGAATGGGGGTCCCAGGGATTGGGGTGAAGCCCCCACAGAGTTCAGGGTCCAGATGGCGGCACCAACAGCTCCTGACTTGGGTGAAGCTGAATCCCCAGAGATCTCACCTGGAGGTCCTGGGGGATTTGGGGAGGTCCTGCAGGGTAGTGCAGGGACATTGGGGGTTCTGTCAGGGGTTTGGAGGAGTTTGGGGGCTCAGTGGATTCAGTGGGTGATTCAAGGCTCATTAGGGGCTTCAGGGATGCATGAGGCTCCTGGGGGCAGTCAGAGGTCTCAAGGGTGTTCAGGGGCCCTGAGGACTCCATAGTCACCCCTCCCCCCTTTCCTTTGCAGCCCTCAGGAAACAGCAGGAAAGGTGAGTGGGGGGTCCAGGCCTGAACCCCATTTTATGTTCATTACAACCCCCCACACCCCCACAGACACCCCCTTATCCTTGCAGGGGCCCCCCAGGGCCCTCGGCCCCTCCAGAGGCAGGGGAGCTGCTGTACAGCCAGGTCAGGTGAAACAAGAAGACAGGGGGTGAGTACAGGTGGGGGGACAGGGACATGTCACCCTAGAGGTGTCACCTCCCATCCAGCTTCCCCCAACCGGTGTCTCTTGCAGTGCCCACCTGTGCCACAACCCCCCAGGTGACCAATGCAGAGCTGCCAGGACCCCATGGGCAACAGCAGGACTCCAGTGACATCTACGAGAACATGCTGTGACACTGGGGGCACAGGGGGCACTGGAGATCCCTGCCTGAGGGCACCTCCCACTGTGTGTCCTCCCCCTAGCTCCCATGGATGCCCACTGTGCCATGGAGGGGGGGCCATGAGTGTGAGGTCCCATGTGGGGCTGCCCAGAGTGCTCCATTCCAGGGCTCCCAGTGCTCCCAGTACCCCCAGTACCCGCAGGAGCTCCCCATTCCCTCCCCCAGTACCAGGGGGCACAACATCACTGTCCCTCTTATGGGACCCAAAACACAGCTTTTTCGTTAAACCAGGAGAAATGTTTTTTGTTTGTTCAGCTCTGCCCTGTTTGACTCAGGAAGGAGGGACCCGGTCATGTTGTTGTGCAGATCTTTGTGGGATTTTTGGGGCTCTGTCTTGGTTTGAAAGACAGGTGTCTGTTAAAGAAGGAAGGAACTTCTCTGGAAATGGAAACTATAAACCCCTTTCCTCTGAATTATTAAAATTTTGGAATTAAGGGGCTCTCAGGTAAAGATATGGGAGTAGGAATAACAGTAGGAAAATGTAAAAATAAAAATAAAAATTGTTATAGATGAATAATGAGATGATTGGCCCTAACAATTAAGGAATGAATACTGTGTGAATATTAGGAGAAGATTTCTTGATGTATAGGTATGTTATTGTAGTTTATTGTTTAGATGCCCTCTGTTCTCCTCACAGTCCCCTTTCCCCATCCTCTGTATTGTCGCCACCGGGCAGCCTGAGTTATTTAGCACAGGTAAAAGGAAGGCGTGTACGTGTGCCCCTCCTACAAGGCAGCTGAGAATGAAAAAGCTCGTTGCTACTGGAGGGCACAGCATGACAACACCTGACGTGCCAATCAAGTTGCAGGAAAGCAATCTCCACCAATAAACGGCAAAGAAGAGTTGACTGACAGACTCTGGGAGGGGCCAGGGTTGGCTGATGCAGCCCCCAGAGGTATAAAAGGTGAAGCGCCCGTCTCAAAGATGAGCTGTGTGGTAAGCAGCCATGAGGGAGGCTCCCAGGCCTGTTTTTCCATATTGTTATGTTTGCCCAATTATCCCATCATCAAAAAATCAAACAATATTAGAGGTAGCAGCAATTTGAATTGAAAAGTTTAGAAAATATATAAAATTGGATACACTTGAAATATTAACAATATAATTGGGCTAAAACTAAGGGATAATTTGGTTCCAATAATAGTGCATAAGCAAAAGATAACCACGAGGTACGGAATGCAGGGCCCCTAGACCCTTGCCACCTCACGTACGAGCTTGCCAAGTGAAGATTCCTCCCTTATATGCCATGTGTCAATGTCATCTCCTCCCATTTTCGATTCATCACACTTCTACCTCCGCCCTCATCACCACCTTTACTGTGCATGCGCCACCACTTGTTTTGGTGGTCACATAAGTCTTTGGGGGTCGTCACTGATGAAGGCCTCTATTCTTCATCTATGTCCTTTAATTCACCTTTGGGTTACACATGCACATCAAGCCAGTACAATGAAAGCCAAAACTAACATATTACTGCATTTAAGCATCAAAGTTATAAATCTCTTACAGCTGGCATTTTCCTGGGACCCAACCAGATTGTCCCTTCTTTTTGTTAATTTTTAGTAACTGTTATCTCTTGCTTTTTCCTCCTGTCCTTCAACATCTGCAGGGAGGGGGGGTGGAACCCCTCCTATCTCTTTCTTTTTTGGCATTACAACTTTTAAATGTTTTATGACTTGCAATTATTAATTGCTGTATCAATATTGATTGTGGTTTCAATTTTACAGCACGAATCATATCAATTTTCCACACATGGAATCCTTTGGTTTTCATTGCTTGTTAAGACTATAAAAAAAATATTGTTGCTGGGTGATTCAGAGTCAGCCCATGTGTGTTAAGTGTAGTCTACAGGGGATAAAGAGAAGGAAAAGAGAAGTATTAATACATCCTGCTAAGTTTGGAAATTTAGATAGCATGAAGAATGAATAACACAAGAAGTAAAGATGGTATTAAAATGAGTCCACGAGAATGTAATTTAGCAGATAAGAAAGATTTGGGAGGAATCCTGGAGGGTAATTTTTCAAGGAAAGGTAATCTGATTAAATACTCTTACCCAATAGTAGGCTTGGTATCAATTAGAAAGTGGTGAAAAGTGACCCCAAATGGAACTTTATGATCCATTGTTACAGTTGATGTTATTTTTAAGACAAGAAGAAAAATGAGATCCAGTGATATATGCAGACATCTTTTTTACCCTGAAGAATAAACCTGAGTGTCAGAAAGAATGTGGCTTTGATTTGGCCCCACAGGACCTTTAGTCCTAACTTTGGAAAGAGATAAGAGGCAGAAAAGAAAGATGTCGTTCAGCATTCAGCATAAGGCAGAGATGTTTGAAATTGGCTCAAATGCACCAGGAAGATTGTGTTCTAGGTGTCCAAGACTTAGAGCTGAGTTAGTCCAGGCCAGCACGGGTATAGTCCCCCTCAGGCAACCACTCTGCCCCCTGAATGAAAGCCAAATGGCAGTGAGGATGAGATGAATAATCCAGGTGAGGGGACAATTTCAGACACCCCCAGTGACAAGCAACCCAAGGAATAAAACCAAGAAAGCTTTGCCTTTAGTCACCCCCTTAAGGCAAGTCTTGAGTCCCCCAGGAGAAGCCATGTGGGTGAACATCTGCTTTTCTACTAGTGACGTCACCAGTAGGTGAGAAAAAGTTAAAATGGATAGAGAAAACCCTAGCAAAGTAGCAAAAAGATTGGAGTTCATAGTCAAG